TGCACTCCCAGCAGATATGTCCAGGATCTAGATAGCCCTGTGAAGGAAGCAACTCGACAGAGGAAAGAAGAAGAGGAAGAAAGAAAAGTGAATGGAAAAAGTCAGAGCAAGATGACATTGATGTGGGAGAAGGGAGAGAAATAGTAACTGGGAGATGAAAGGAGAAGATGAAGTATGATTAAGTAAGGAAGAGTTAAAGTCAAGGGAGATGTGGGGGGCACAGAAGGAAGAGGTCCTCTTGCTTGGTCTCTGACTGAATAAAAAGCTGAAGGAAGGAAGGAGAAATGGAGTTCGTTTGGAGACAGAATCTGTTGTTAGGAGGCAGAGTGGGGAAAAGGGCAGAGAGAGAATCTTTGGGGTGGGGAGGGGGGTAAAATAAAACAAGATCCAGAAGGAGAGCTTAGACTCTGAAGCAGGGAACCTGGGACAAGGAGCTGGGGCAGTCTGACTGGGTAGGAAGGACTCTGAGAAAGTGTGCGTGAATTGGGCATTTTAGGGTGAGAGGAGAACAAGGAGACTGAGCTAGCTGGGCCTGTTTAAGTAGAGGAGAATGAGGAAATCAAGTGGATTTGGAAAGGGTTAATGAGCATCCCTGAGCAAGAGACAAAGGGGCAGCATGCAAGGGAGAGGACAGAAGAGAAGACAGGAAGATACCGGGAGTTGAACAGTGGACCATAATCAATGCAAAGCAACCAACCATAAGGTGAGAAAACAAACGATTGGACGATGGGGGTAGGTGAGTAAAGAGACTGGAGAAAGGCTAAAGATATGGACAGGAGACTGGACTGGGAGATCTGGTTGCAGGGAACTCTGTGAGGATGTAGGCAGAAAGCCTTACAGTGGCTGTGCAAGGATTCCCCCAAGGCGCTGGAAAGAAAATCTGCCTGGCAGCCCAGCCCTGGAGCAGGGGTGCTCTCAGGATGCTCTCAGGGCCCTGACACCAGGAAAGGGACTTACAAGAGTCTCCCCATACTCAGACTGCTAATGCAAATGCTTGCTCTCAGAACTCCTGTAACAAAGATCTGTGCCTTGGCTTTGAGGGTGTCCTTATGATGCTCCTTTAGGAAAGTGTGGTGTGGGAGGGAGGAGCCCTACAAAACCATGCACAGAGGTTCACTCTTGAAGTGTGTTCTGTGGGCTAAAAGTCAAGCTCTGCAACATGAAGGAATTCCAATGGCAGTAGCATGTAAATCTTCATTCAGCCCTGTTGGTGCAATTAGATATTACACCATATGCTATTTAGACTGTACTTGCTATTGCTGTCTGTGACCACCTCTGGGGAATTGCAAACCCAAAACACAAGCATACAGCTTGCTTTGTGCTCTGCAAGGTGTGAGTTCACTTTACTGCTGCAAGGATGGCTAAAATACATCCTGAAGTGGCCACATGTATCAAGTTGTTCCATAATCCTGCCTTCACATTACAGAATCAGAATGGTTTGTGTTGGAAGGGACCTTTAAAGGTCATCTAGTCCAGCTCCCATGCACTGAGCAGGGATACCTTCAACTAGATCAGGTCGCTTAGAGTCCCATCCAGCCTGACCTTGAATGTTTCCTGGGATGAGGCATCTACCACCTCTCCAGGCAACTTGTTCCTGTGGTTCACCAGCCTCATTGTAACAAATTTCTTCCTTACATCTAGTCTAAATCTGCCTTCTTTTAGTTTAAAACCATTTCCCCTTGTCCTATCTCTACAGGCCCTGCTAAGTCTGTCCCCATCTCTCTTATAGGCCCCCTTCAGGTATTGAGAGGCTGCAGTAAGGTCTCTTCTCCAGGCTGCATAAGTACAACTCTCTCAGTCTTTCTTCATAGAAGAGGTGTTTCATCCCACTGACCATTTTTGTGGCCCTCCTCTGGACCCGCTCCAACAGGTCCATGTCTTTCTTGTGCTGAGGACTCCAGAGCTGGATGTAGTACTCCAGATGGAGTCTCACGAGAACAGAGTAGAGGGGCAGAATTGCCTCCCTCAACCTGCTGGCCACGCTTCTCTTGATGCAGCCCAGGATACAGTTGGCCTTCTGGGCTGCAAGTGTACATTACTGGCTCATGGTGAGCTTCTCATCCACCAGTAACCCCAAGTCATTTTCTGGAGGGCTGCTCTCAATTACTTGGAGTCCTCCTAGGAAGTAGCCTTCAGCTGACTCTGGCAGAAGATACATGGTGTTGCTAAAATCCTGTTGAGATGTACAGCGGCAGACACAGGTGGGGTGTGTACATCCATACCTGAGCGTGTTCATTTGCTGCAAGAAGGGAAGGAAAAGCGCGTTTGCCACATTCATATTCCCGTGCCCAGGAAAGGATTGTCTGTATGCGTGCAGCAGAGCTGAGGGTGCGCGCATGTGTGTGCTTGGATGGTCATATACACAATCATGGAGGAGAAAAAAATCAAGGAAAAGTCCCCTGCACTTAAAAAGCACCGAGTTTGTGATGATCCCTAGACTTTATAAGAGCTGTTCCACAGCCTTTTGTTGTTCTTGGATATACCATCTCCTGCACAAATAAGCTTTGTTACCACTGTAGACAGTTTCATGTTTATCCTAGAAATGAAATGATCTTTTTAAACCACTGAGTGCTTCAGGGAGCGAACTAAAATTTTGAACCTGCTTCAGCTTTCTGTGGCAAGGCAACATGGTGAGCTGAGGACAGGTCTGTTTATTGATACAGGTTTCCACTAAGGTTTCTTCTGGAGGTGAATATTAGCTATAATCATTTATGCTGGATATTTACATTATTTATTTACATTGGCTATTTTCAGTCTTACAGGCAGGGGCTGCATATGCCTCTGTCACTGAAAATCATGTTCCATGGGGCGTATCCTTGCACATACCTCTATTCTTCTTCATCCTTTTTGTCCCCCACTTTGTTGTTCACAGTAGCACATCCCTGTGGCAAACATAGATAATGCTTACTAACAAAAGTAATAAGAAGAAGGTATTTAATGTATTTCTAGCTTTCTTGAATCTTTCGTAGCTGTGAATACAAGGCAAAAAACACTATATGACCATGCTACTTTGGGAACGGTCTATAAACTGCAGTTAAAATAATTTAAAGATATTTATGCAGTGCATAAGTCACGTGAATAGAGGTTTATCACAATCAGTAGGAATGCTGGATCCTCATATCACACATTCGCTGCTTAGGATGATTAGCACGAAATTTAATTTGCACTAATTAGCCTTAGGGGAGTGAGAAATTAACTTGATGAGTAAATTTCACGTTTTACTATATACCATACCAACATGGAAAAATTTGAGTTAAAGCCTGAGCTGAGTCCTGTGCTGATGCATTGGCCTTCGGTTTTTCTAAATTAAATTAAAAGACTGTAAAAAATTAATATATGCATGATGAGTGGGTGAGTTTTTTAGGAGCTAGAGTCATAGAATAGTCATTCAACCTATTCATTGAATTGTCAGCCACTTTCAGAGAGTGTGGTATATTTTTGTACATTAAATTACATTAATATCTAATAATACAGAAAAAGCTTTAACAAATTCTAATTTTCTATATTTGCATATTTTCAGTATATAATGTGTGTTATGTCTGCACATGCAATATTCCATATTATAATGCACACAGTGGAAACTGTTTTCACAGAACTGCTGTGAAAACGTCATACTTTTTAATTTACAACACCCACTTGCAAATACATTTTCAGGGTCAGGAGCCTTTGTTTGTATACTGGAAAAATTCCTATGAAAATAATTTTTTTAGAAATTACTCTCAAAAGTATACAGCAAATGAGGGAGGCATGAGTCACCACCATGCCCTAATAGACAAATAAGAATTAGGAATTAATAAACTCTGATCTTGGCTGTTAATGGTGACTTTTCTATCTCATTCTTCCAAAACACAATTTAGATTGCTTGTTTTTTCTCTCTGTAAAATAGAGGCAATTTTTATGTACCCACTACTCAGTATTACTCTGGATTGATTAATGCATGCAAAACAATGAGTCATTCGGTAGGGAAGTATTGGTTTATCATGGACTGAAGTGTTCTGTCATACCAGGCTTGTGGTTCCATCCAAATTTATCTGTAAAAAGGGAGATGGAAAACATCAGTTGCATATGAGATAATTGCCTTTGATCTTGGTGCTTCTGCTAATTTGTGCATCTGAAATACACCCAGAAGTTCACTCTTACTATTACACATTTGGAATTAGACCTTGTAGTACTTACCTGAAACAGCTGTTGAAGTGAGTGGTGTGACTTCAGTGAGAGTTTCGGCTGAGTAAATATTGCAGAATTGGGTACCCTGAGTCCATGGTTTGGGATTTAAGCGGTGCAAATAAGCTAGTTCAGGCATCTACTCAAACTTTCTAGCCTACAACATAAATACTTCTGGTCTAAAGAGAGATGTCAGATAGACCTGTGGGTAGTCATATGTTGTGTAACACATATCGTATTGCATTTACAGGTCCTTCTTCAATCCCCAGGACTCTGATTTCTCAGCAGTAGCCCTCTGTTCAATCAAAAGTGTGTGTGCATGTGTGTGTATGTGTAAGTGGGTATATATAAATATACATGTGCCCACATACAGACAAACATACATGTGTACACACATCCCCTATATAAATGTGCTTTGCCTTTTTGGGGTGTATGAGAATATTTCTGTAAATGCTCACCACTTGTATTCATACTTGTGTGAGTATTATTCAACTTTCAGTCATAATTGACACCATGTGGCTTTCTGTATAATAATTACTTTGGGACAAAAATCCTTGCAGATGGTTTCAAGAGTAAGTCTAACTTGCCATCAATGTAAAAAGATTAAATAAGATGAGTCCACTCTCTCTGAATGGAGTAAGCCATTTCCATTGATTTCAATGGGAGCGGGCGCAACTTCAGTTCTACAGCAGACAGAGAACATGTATTATATTCATTAAATGACAGTTTGATTTCATCGTGGTTAAAATTATTCATATTCTGTTAGCAAATGGTTTCAGATTTTATAACCTAAAACATTTGCTGAATTATGCTTTGTATTTTCCTCACAGCAATTGGAAGAACACTCATTCCTCGTTATTTTAGCACTGTCTTTGAAGGAGGTGTAACAGACCTGTATTACATTCTCAAGCACTCAAAAGAGTCATACCACAACTCATCCATCACAGTGGACTGTGATCAATGCACCATGGTCACTCAGCATGGAAAACCCATGTTTACCAAGGTAAAAGGAAAGACTCAATAAAGCATGCTGTTGGTTTGGGGTTTTATTGTTTTTTTCTTTCTTTCTTTTTCTTTTTCAGTGTGTATAAGGGTGAAAAATATTGGTTGTTACATTTTTCTGGTAGACTGAGATTATTTCTAATACTGAAACTCCTTGAAGCCATTTAATTACTATTTTCTATATTCATTATGTGACTGGAGAATTCTGTGGGCATCCTCTGCAATTCTCCCTGAAAGACTGCAAAAGCACATAATGCCTGGTTGCTGGAACCGTCAGTTGTACATGAATTAAATTCAACCTGCCCATCGCCTTTTCTTTGGGCTTGATTTTAAAGCAACAATGAGATTTCACATTGTTGGTACCTACCATTTGGGATAGTATGCTTTACATTTGATACTTACCCAGTCCAAGGACTATAAATCTCTAGAAAACCAGTGATTTAATATAGTAGGATGCCGGTCCAAAGGGCAGTGCAGTCAATGGAAGGAGTCAATTGATTTAAACATGCTCTGGATTAGGCAGTTAGTGAATATTCAATATTTGTAATTGATAGTGAATTATCTTCATGCATTGGCCGCTTCTAGTCCTGTAATTAAACTAAGTGCCATGTATTTATAAAAAACAATACCAAAAAGTGGAAAATACAAATTAAAACAAAAATTTTCTTATATTAAAAAAAAATCAGTAAACCCTTTTTCAAAATGGAAATGTACCCTTTCCTAAATTAACAGAAAATGATTACTTTCCTTCTTGTACTTGTTCATCTGTATGAATTTTAGCGTTTGCATGGAGAAAAATACAAAAAGAGAAGGGGCAGCAGGAGGAGATAACCACGTTGCCCTTGGCCTGCAGGACTGAGAGGTTTTAGAGTCAAAAAAAGCCCTGGCTATTGACAGCATCATGACCAGAGCCCACATGGCTTACACTGTTTTGGCATGTATGTAAGTCCCATCCCTTTGTAGTGTCTTTCCTGCCATCTTCATGGCTCTTGGAGTGGAGCTCAAAGGAGAGGCAGAGGAAGCCACTGGTGTGTGGAGCACTGGTGAGCTGGGAGGTGTGCATTTAATGGTGTCGTTGTTCCAGCTCTCCCAGTCCAGCTCCCTGTGACTTACATAGACATGAACAGAGAGAGACAGAGATGCAAAGAGACCAGATATTCCTTGGTAGCACCTCTTTGCCACCTTGCTGCTCACAAGGAGTTGTGTGTGCTGGCCATGTGCAGCCGACATGACGAGGGTATACAGTAGCTGCTTCTTCACATAGCTCCCTAAACCAGTTTCTGTGTCATTTCCCTTCGTGTTAGCTTTAATGCAATAGCAAATAAAAGAGGGTTTTTTTGGAATCTGTAAATACAACACTTTTTTCTCAATTCAATTAGTTTATTTTACTTATCATGGCAGCACGTTACAGTGTTTGGAAAGTAGGGTACTATCCAGCAAGTCAAAGACAGACTAGCAGCAGGGACTGGGCTGGGTGCACACCTCGCAGGAGGGGAGCTGCGGTCACCTCCTGTAGCACCGTCCTGTTGTGCCCAGTGAGTCCCTCCATCTGCACTGCAGCCCTGTCCGGCTTCAGCCCTGTTTCAGTTACACATTCCAATATAGAATCATAGAATGGTTTGGGTTGGAAGGGACATTAAAGATCATCAAGCTCCAACTCCTCTACCATGAGCAGGAGCACCTCTGTATGCCGGTAGAAAAGTTTAGGTGGGGATGTGACTTGGATTCTAGGAATAAAATTAGGGGGTTTTAATGGCTGTATGTTTAAAATATGACTGTTAGTAAGAGCAAATTTGAAATAAAACACAGTAGTTGGTGGAATAAGGGAGAAAAGAATATGTTACTCTCAGAAATGTCAGAGCTGAGTGTTGTCTCAGTTGTGCATGTGTAACTTCTAGCAGAGATACTGAGGGCAGAGATGTACCCAAAGGTAAACTCCTAACTCTCACAGAATCAGTGGTGGAACAAAGCAGACCTCCCATAAGAAGCAGCACTTCAATGGACTGAGTAGCTCCTTAGATTGTGTCTGAATTTGACCCAGAGAAACAACCACAAAGGGTTTTTTTAATGCAAAATTACAAACTAACTATATTTGTTAATAGCTGCTTGAGTTTCACAAATAACTTATAAGCTACAGATTCACTGACTTCTAATATAATGGGCTGAAACAGTTCTCGTCGCATATTGATTAGGAATCCACAGCTGCATTTTATCCATTTCACCATTTTCCTAGTTAGAGCAACTCACTGCATACTGCAGTATTGGATGAATATATAAAATGGCATTTCCAAATTTTTTTCAAATATGGCTAGATCATGCCTAACAGTAAGAATATTAATAGTCTGGCTTTAGGGGGCAAGAGGTCCCTGTAAAATGAGGCACACACTTAAATTGTTTTCACAAGGTATAAATAAATGTTATAAAGAATTTAATACAGTTCAATGACATGAATTAAATGTGGTAAAAGAAAAGACTGAAGCCCTGACTACCATGTTTGTTTACCTGGTAGATGCTTCATTTTTTTCTCCAGGTAAAGGAAAGCTTTAGGAGTCCTCCTAAGTCTCTGTTTTCACCATGTTTACTTACACTCCAAGTTTATGTGTAGGTAAACTGTTTTTCTGCAGTTAGCAATGCTTATATTCCCTGATAGATTGGCAGAGATGAGCTTTGCTTTCGCTACTAGAGCAGTGAGCACCATGTGTTCAAACTATTCTCTTCCTGCACCCAACCATGGGGCCATCAGCTGGGTTTTATGGGTGAAGCCCTTGAAACGCAGTGATTTTAATCCTTACTAACAATCTCAGGCATTTCCCAGATTTGTATAAGCTTTAGGATTCTTTTCAGGCAACGACTCGGGTTTGAGAAGTGAAGAGGAAGACTTCTAAAAGATGCCTGGTGTTAGGAGAGTGAGACTCTGTGCAGTAAGGCACAGGACCAAAGTTGTTTTTCATAGGTGCAAGCAGTTGAAATTCCTAAAATTAGTAAGTGCAGTGAAGGGGTTAAAAAGCTATTGGTTAGTTTGAGAAATGTTCTTTTTTAGTTTTTTCCTGGCCTAGTCTAGAGCAACCACGTGATATACTGAATGCCTGCCAGCCTCTTTCTTGTTGATCCTCCGGAGACCATCTGTGCTGGGGGCATTGATTAGAGTGTGTCTGCTGGGATTACATCTTTTCTGTTGCCATGCCAACTAATCAGCTGATTTTGGTTACCACAGAAACAAAATGTCAGAGCTCACAGTACGGTAACATGAATTCAGCACAACAGAAAATGTTTTCTTAATTGGAGACCCTTTTGATTTTTTTTGATTCTATGTAAAAGGCAGCTTTAAAAAAAAATAAAAAAGGTCCATTTAAAATAAGAACTGTGCCAATTTTATTGATTAAAAGCAATGTGTAAAATTCTGCTCTACATAAGGAAATTAAATTCCTTTATAAGAGATATAAATTTTTACCACTGTGATATGAGGTATGTGTTTCAGTTTTTCTATTAAAATTTGTTAATGGTAGTGCATAAAATAAATCTGTTAAGAGCTGTGGGGTTTTGAGCTTAACAGAAGAAATATTTGAGAAGCCACAGGTATTATTATAAAAAAAAAAAATATTTTAAACCTGAAATATTTTCATGTTAACTGCTCAGTAATCAGGATCTTTGGCCTCAACAAAATAACATTCATATAAAAAGTTTTTCTTCTTGTATGAATCCTTATATGTGTATATGTGTACCCCAGTATAATTTCTTATCATAGTGCAACTGGTGAGAAAATCAAAATTGAGGTCAAATGACAAAATAAGTCACATTAAAAATCTGAAGGCATCACTAAGGTATGTGGAAAAGGGCAGATGAGAACCTGTTGCAAGATTCTCCTTCAGAGGTCTACAGTAACTTGTCTATATAGTATGCCTGTCAAAATTGCCTACATGTTTTTGCAGAAACAACCAGGAAGAAATACTACGATGAGGTTAAGTGAACAATTAACTAGAACAGCCACACATTACCCAAGCTGGAACTAGCCAAGTCTGGGTTGGGGCATGTAAAAAGACTCAACAGACTCAAGCGAATCTGGGCTGGCTTGTTGTTCAATCAGCTATTAGTTGTATTAAAATTAGAATTGCAGGAACCTTTTATTTTGAAAGCTGTTGCACCCTGTTTCCACAATATCTCTGTACCCTGCACTTGCAAGTTTACTTGAAATAGGAGTTGTAAGTCTAAACATCCAATTTAAAGGAAAAAATAAACGACAGAGGGAGTTAATTTTCAGATCATACATCATTTACAATACTCCAGTCAGGATACCATGCTGGGCATGTATTTTGCACTTTAAAGACCACCACAGCCCCAGCATTTTTTCCACATAAAGTTTTGAACAGTTGTTTAAAAGTCCCCAGTAATTTATTTTACTTTTCATTTCAAGGTAGTACCCACTTGCTGCATTTATTCCTCCGATGTTTTCTCTCCTTTCTCAGACAAGGCCCTTCACAGAGCTGCTTGAGCCACTTTCTGTGGAAGCAGCTCCATTGTCCATGACTGCAGCCTGTCCTCTGCACCCCTGGCTCTCAAACTTGCTGTGCCAGTGCAGCTCATGCAGCCCAATGGTAGACACCCCATCCAGCTTTCCTTGGAAGGGAAGACAAAAAATAGATAAGAAACAAAAGAAAAATGAAAATAGGATAAAATGCCTGGAAAAGACAAGAACACTTGGAAAAGACAAGAAGAAAAAAAAAATAGGAAAAAAATCAGATTTGGCTGCAGGCATTCAGGGCACTGTGTATTCCAACTGGACATGAAAAGAAGGTTTATATGCCAAGCTATTGCAAGGAAAGGGCAACAGAAGGCAGGTTGGGAATGACTAGTTCAGCAACTTGACATGAAGTGCACGCAGTTGCACCACAGCTGCCTCCGCTGTGACTTTCAGTCATTAATTAGCAGTAGCGAACTTAAAAAAAATTGATGCAATAAATAAGATTTAGCACACACAATACTCTATGTTTGTAAAATGCTACAAAATCTATAGTATTATAAGTTACTGTCTCTGTGGTAAGGCCTATGAAGTAATTTTCCCACATTCTTTTTTTTTCTCCTCAAGAGAAAGAAAAACAGTTAATCTAGCAGAGAAGAACAATTGATATTTTTGAATGTTGTTTAATCGATGATACAATACCATTGAAAACAAAATTCCTGGGAATTTATTTCATGCATTTTATGTATTCTAGGTGTGCACAGAAGGACGTCTTATCTTGGAGTTTACTTTTGATGATCTTATGAGAATAAAAACATGGCACTTTACTATTAGACAGTACAGAGAATTAGTCCCACGCAGCATTCTAGCCATGCATGTAAGTAATCCTTTTTTCACTTGACCTAATGCAGAGAGATGAGATTAAGTTTATGAAAAACTCCAGCAAATTTCACACCCAAGGCAAATAACTGCAAATATTTTGTTTTGCCTGCAACTACATCCATTTACAAGTTCTTTCATCACTCCCTTGTTTCTCAGTGCTCTATTGTTGCCACTGTTGCTATGTTTCCATTTTCTTTTAGCCCATAGTTTTCCTTTTAATCTCATTTGGTGGTCTGTATGATTTGAGCCCAAAGTCTGTTCTTGTTGAAATGAACTACAGAAAAGTCAGTGAACTTTCATCGTTGTAGATATGAATTATATTTAGTCTTTAAATGAAGCAAAATAAGGTTTCCCTTGCAGGAGACAGAAAATAAATAATTACCATAAACTTACCTAGAAAGCTTTAGAATTTTACTCTAGATCTTTATTTCACATTTCAAGACTTTTCTTTTGTAATTGAATGAAAACACACAGAATAGAACACTAAATTATTAAATATCCTACAGGTTGAAGTAAAAATATTATAAGGTAAATAGTTGCAGAGAAACAAATTACAGAGTCATATTGCTGCTTTCCATTCTGCATTGTAGAAGCATTCTGACTAGTAGTGCTCCATATACAAAATTAATTGCAGGACTATGGTTTTGTAGAGGGTAAGAACACAGGCTCAAATATGTGCCCGTACTTTGACATTGAGTTACTTAGATATCCATAGATAAAGATATATTCTCAGTGAGGAATTTTAAATAACTTAAGATGCCTGGACTTTTTTGAAAATGCTGTTACAGGCCTGAAGAAAATACCTTTGAAAACCTGCCCCACCGTTTCTCTCCCAGGGTTATCTTTTATTTTAGAGGGCTGATCTTCTGAACTCTTCAACAGTATCCCATTAAGGGACAACGAGGATGGCCAAGAGCAACATTATGCATTTAGAGCACTGCTGCAATTCAAAGAGAGTAGAAGCAGGTTAGCCAGCAACCAGCAGGTATTAATTTTAGTAATGAGATTGATCTCATTTTAAAGAGAAGGCTGGTCTCACAGGTAAAGCTCTTGGCTAGGGTCAGAGAAGGACTGTACTTGCATTTTTCCTGTTTAATTCTGGAACAATAGTTTAGACCAGAAGGGGTCTCACAGCCTGTGCTTAATGCCACTTACGTGATCAGCTCTGCTGAAGGTGCCTTGATGAGCTCTCTCTGCTTCAGTTTATTACCCACAGTAAGAAAGCCATGCCTTCTTTATTCTTGCCTTTATCTACTTAGTCTCCTTGGACTCCCAGCCAACAAATGGAAGGCTCAAAGTGTACTGTGATCCCTCAGGAAGCTCTTTGATGGGGCCTTGCTCGCTTGCACCCCTGTGTATGACCAGACCACCTAGGTCTATCTTTTGAATGGGCAGAGTCAGAACAAAGATATTGGAAAACAGTCTTTATTCTGCTCCAATTTCATAAGGTTTTACATTTTCCTATACAAACATAACTCTGTAGCTTATTACATAAATTTAGCATCAACATGTAATTTTCCATAGGAGTGGCACCTCTCTTCAGAGAACCCTCCCTACAGTGCACCAAGCACATAGAAAAAAAAAACAAATAGACAAAAGCAAAGTGAAAATTATTTTTTCCTCTGTTGTTTAGGCACAAGACCCTCAGGTGCTGGAGCAGCTGTCCAAAAACATCACTCGAATGGGTCTGACAAACTTCACTCTCAACTACCTCAGGGTAAGCATACCATAGCTGATGATTATTGTGAGTATTTTTTAAAAGTTACTGTTAGCTTTGAGTGAAGGTGATGAGAGCAGAGCCTGTGTTGGTCAGCTAAGAAATGGACCTTACTTTTAATGAGGATGAAGGAGAAACACAAGACTGTAATAAAGATGTAGCTGCTAAGAATGCACCATTAAAAAAGGATGAGAGTTCCATCATGAGGTTCAGGCAATGTGTGAGTAGCCCCTGTTTTTAACAGTCTTTCTTCTCAGTTTTGATTAATGGCTTTATTTTTTGTAAGCAAGAAGTTCCCCACCATTTTTACTCTCTGCTTCACTGTTCCTGAGAAAATGGCAGCTCATTCTTATTAAGAGCTGTCTGCCTTCTCCAGCTCTTCGACCTCCCCACCTCTTCCAGGCAGAGGCAGGGCTGAGGGAAAGCCTGGCTCCAGCTCTGTTTGCAGCAGTCCCTGGAAGCACTCCTCACTTCACTTGCCTCTGGGAGCCTGAGCTCCCTGCTCAGCCTTGCACTGAATCGAGTGTGGGTTTTATGATTAAATAATGCATTTGTTCCCACTGTTTTTTGACCCTTCAAGTGCATTCAAAGTTTGGAAGTTTATTTTTATTTTTGAAAGTATTCCCTGGTGTGGGCTTACAATACATACACTGAAATATGTGTTTGTAGGGTTCATATTTCAAGGATAAAATTCATATTTTTCTTATTTCTAGACATGCCATTAGTAGATAAAATAAGGCAAATTACTCAACGATGCACTAAGCTAACTTAACCAAGAATATGATTTTATTCCTTTTAAATGTGTGAGTAATTAATCAAGATGCTTTTTTAAGTTAACAAGAACACTAGAAAAGGCAGTTACTTTCAGCAGAATGTAGAGCTGCACTTGACAGACTGTATTTCAGCTGCACTTCATTTAGGTCTGTGAACCTATTACCTTCCTTATGGTATGATGGGACCCTGCTCACTTGCACCCCTGTGTATGACCAGACCACCTAGGTCTATCTTTTGAATGGGCAGAGTCGGAACAAAGATATTGGAAAACAGTCTTTATTCTGCTCCAATTTCATAAGATTTTACATTTTCATATACAAACATAACTCTGTAGCTTATTACATAAATTTAGCATCAACATGTAATTTTCCATAGGAGTGGCACCTCTCTTCAGAGAACCCTCCCTACAGTGCACCAAGCACATAGAAAAAAAAAAACAAATAGACAAAAGCAAAGTGAAAATTCTGGTTCCATCTGTTGCTCCTATGGTCCTACCCCTGGAGTGTTTTGAACTAGGAAGGGGTCAGTGTGCAGGACTGAAATGTGTGGTGAAATCTCTCTCACTGTATCCCTATGGCTCATAGACAGCCTGTAGTTGTCCTTACTCTCACAATATGATGAGCCATTGCAGATTGTTGCTTATGTGGCTTAGTGTAAAAGTTACTGTTATACTCTTGAGTTGTGCAGGGCAAATCTGCTCTAACATAAATGAAAGAAGAATATGGCATGAAACCTCAGAAGAATAATACATTGCATTAGTATTTTTCCATGTATAAATACAAGAATAATATGTGTATGCTGTGTGTATTGTATTCTCACATTTAGTTTAGTCTCTGGTTCGGTACAGAGAGTGACCGTTGCGCTTTGGCAACACCCTGATAGCCACACTGTCATCTCATGGTGAGGCATCCTAAAGCACATTCTCCAGAAATCCCCACTGGGGATTCCTCCTCAGTCACAACAAGTTTTATGTTACTCCCTCATGGCAAACTGGGCAGCAAGCAGCTGTAGGCTATTTCCATATTTTCTTCCTGAATTTTCCTGTGGCACAAGGCATTGCCCCTCTTTTGAGGTCTTAATCCTCTTAGCACAACCCATCACACCGGCAAGCACTTGAGCTGGCCCACACCAGCCTCAGTACTCAGTGCCCAGCCTCCAGGAGGCTCAGAGGGCCATGCTGAATTTGCAGCTCTATCTCTGTCACCCACGCCTTCCAGGTCCTTTGTGGCATATTCTGTAATTGCTAAATGTGACAATGCAAATGAGAAAGGCAGGGTCCCTGGTAGAATGCAGCTGGCATCAGGCACCCATGCTGGTGCCCCCATCAGCATAAAAAAAAAAAGAAAGAAAGGAAGGGGGGGAGGGAGAAAAAATCCTCAGAAAAAGAAAACTAGGATCAAGATAAGTGCTAGGAAGATGAGTAGTGAAGTGGAAGGGGACGAAAAGTCTTACTTTTTTTCTTCTTCTAGACTAGTTTTGTTAGCTTAACAGACAATGTCAGGTCTCTGGGTACAAAGCTTCCTCTGGCTCCTGCTGCAGTGATTCCAAAAGGAAATATTTTTTTTTCCAAGCTGATCTTTACATCTCTTTTTCTTGCTGTGGGGAATTGATCATTCTGCTCTTTTTTTCAGATGTTCAGCTCATCATGGGAGCTCATATTAGATTATATATTTCCATTTTGTTTTACGTATTTCCCAACTACTTTCTTCTGTTAATTTTAACATGAAAATCTTTTCTGAACTGAGGATTATATAATCATGCACTAAAAAAATGTGAGGAATGCACTTAGGTTTAAGGTGTTTTGGTTTGCGGGGTTTTCTTAAGTCAGCATTTTATGATATTTTATTCAGTCTTCACAGTGTTTAGTAATTAGCACTGTTACATGGTTTTGAATAAGGATTTGAAACTAAGCATAAAAATGATTTTAATTTTTTTTCTGCTGCACACAGCAAAGGCTTGTGATACTCATAAGCGAAAACTTCACTGATGGGCAGAATTAATCATTTTTATTCTCTAACGTGTACACAGCAACAAGCTGTGCTGCACTGTCTTTAAAGGCAGAATTTAAACCTGGATTTCAGATGGTTTTGATATAAAGGTATAGCCTGGATTTTTTCCACTCTAGACATCACAGAATGCTAAATCATTGCTAGTTGGGATAATTGCAGTTGCTGGCACGTAAACCTCCATTCCAGAGTGCCACATACCTGTAGAGCCACAGCTTTGGATGCATGCCTTGGTTTGTCTTCATTCACTCCGAGTAAAGCTGTCCAGCATAGAAGAACATTGATTTTGTAAATCATATTTAATACAAATTTAAAATATATCTTCTTGGAACCTGGAAATGAAATGTTTTGTCCTGTGTCATTTGCCAAATGCTATTTCTCTCTGTTTTCTCTGGCTCTGTATAAAACCATAGGCTTCCTTTCTTTCTAGTTACTAGTTTGTTTTGTTCCAGCATAATTGATTACCTCATCAATCGGGTCAGCATACTTCGCTGTAGCTGCTGACTAGGAGTTGAATAGGCTGTCTCAGAAATAATGGGCAAAACCTTGTAGGTTTTAAATTACTATCAAGCTTTTTAAAATGTAATTTCTCATCAAGTCATCAGGTAGTAGACATTACAAACTATCAGATAATAAGGCCAAGACCTATATCCTAGTCTCAGTGGGTACAAGTCCAAGAACAAACAGGAATCCTGTTCAGAGTTTGAAGATGGAGATAACACTTAGAAGAACAGTTTCCACCAAGCTACAATAATTTAGTCCTCATACATTACCTTTTTTTTTTTTTTTTTTCTGTGTAATTTTCTAGTCACTCAGCTATTTTATTTGGATCTTCAATGCATAATGGATCTGAATGTTCTCTAAAAACTGTAGCTTTATACCAGAAGCACTATTCACAATTTGGAGCTAAAATATTTCTTACTGCCTTCTCTAATATGATTTATTCTCTCAAAATTTCTGACATTATAAAAAAAACCCAGCCCCTACTGTCAATTAGGCAAGACTACCTGGTCTGAGCCTTGAAATATAGTTGTATCTTGCGCAGCTGGTTTTCAAAACTTGCACTGGTTGGTTTGAAGCAATTTCCTAGTGCTCTTCCCCTGGTGTAACTATTGCATGCCCCCCACTACCTGTTCAGATCGACAGTTTATTGGTGTTAATGGAGCCAAATCTGCATCTGCCCTTTGCAAAGTAAGAGTTAGCGTGGCAGAGCCCTCCCACTCTGCATCAGGAGAGGTGTCTAGGCAGGGGAATGCACACTCCTACTTCCCCTTACATCCTGTATGGCTGTATTAGCCAAGGCTTATCTGAGCTACAAATTATCCAATTTGTTTGTTTTCTGTATAAACCAATAATGAAGTGTTAGTATTGCAATGCAGAAGACAATATTTTCTGAATCCCCACTTTCACTAATTTAGTTCCTTACCAGACACTTCTGGATTTCTTCTGCTAGGAGGATAACATGAATTATTTAAAGGGACACAATTTTCTAAAGGCAATACTTACATTGCAATCAAAAGCCATTTGTATGTATACCCATTGTGTACGCAAAACTTTCTTATGCCCATGCAAAATAGAAATGCATGCAACAGCTTCCTTCAATATGCAGGGAAATACGCTTTTCTAAATACGGTTTCGTGCATGGAAAGGATATGAACTCAAATCATTTGGGAGCTATTTTGCTCCTAATATGTAACAATTTCTGGCTGTTATCTGGTCAATATTTTACAGCTGTTTGTGTATCTTCAGTGAAGAAGGAGAAAGATTACATGCAAGCATGTTAAGGATGCAAAGTCAGGTACTCAGGGAAAAGAAATGCTATACTTACAGTCACCCATGCAACACGAATTCGTTTCCCTTTGTGAGTTACATTATGTCACCATCTTCTAACTACATCATTATGCACTGTGTGTCCCACAGACTCCCCAACGCATGCAGTGCATGGGATGGCTAACACTCACTCAGTAGCAAGTGCTCCAGGGTTACTCATTTCCTTGCAGGGTTTTCTGCAGCATCATTCTTGTATCTCAACTGCAGATGTTCATGGCTGCCTAGCACCTACCAGCTGAAGAGCCATTGTCATGCCCAGTGCAAACATGTGGCACTGAGGCACATGGATGAACACCACAGCACTCAGAGGGGTCAGCTAAGGGGAGGTGGCTATTCTGTGAAAGCAAAGGCCTGATTTTGCAGAGCACTTGGAATTTCTTCTTGTCCCAT